CAAGAAGACGCATAAGTTGTTTGGATTTCTACGAAAGGTCTTATCCTAGGCTTTCGTATTGTAACGGAAACGAGCGTCTTAGTTAAACAAAAAACGGAAAACAAGTTTTCAAAAATAACGAAGTTTGAGTACTGTTTTAAGGTCATGAAAAGTAACTGTTGTTAGCAGTATAATGCCTGCAATGGTCTGCAAATGGATGCCAAGATAAAATCCCGTTTTACACGATCCAAAATCTACTGACACTTGAGTTTGGGGTTTCATCCTGTCCTTGCCAGTAGAAATTTCAACTTTCTGCGAACAAGGTATGCCTGGAGGAGGCAAATGCACGCCAATTGGTTCGCCGTTGCTGAGAACCTGCTGCAGTAGGTTGGATGGGTGTTTAAGCAGCCAGCTTGCGCAGTTCATTTTGAGAAGGCGACTCTGAATCTGAAGGTTTCGCTGTCATTCACATGCAAGTGTAATCGGGTAAGATGGTTGACAGCGTCAAGCATGTCGCTCGTAATAAAAGCGGCAAACGGCAAAATCTCTCGCCTGAGAGAATTGTGGATGTAAGTGAGGCTTTCAAAGTTCCACCAGAATGATAATTCAGTACCCTGATGGAAAGAGGCTTGTCGAGTGACGTAGCCAGGAGGTTTGTTTCAGAAATTCACAGACACCAAAGCCACGACTTTTAGCCCACCGTGATAACTTGAAGTGCGCCTGATAGTTACCGTATTGCAAATGCGCTAAGAACAAGCTGGTAACATGGTCTCATTTGTCGCTCACCTAACCACAGATTCGCACCCTCAGTAAAAAACTGGCGTGGGTGTACGTTAAGGCAACCAGTTTATGGAGTTCACAAGTCCTCCAATTTTATTACTTTTTTGAGGAGGCACTCTGGCCTCTGCTGGTTTCACTGTCATTCACATGGGAGAGTATTCGGGTCAATCGGTTAACTACGTCGATCAGGACAAAATGTAACCTCTCCCCGCTGTGAGCAGTGTGGATGTAAGTGAGGCTTCCTATTTTCTGCCAGAATGGCAATTCAGTGCCCTGATGGAAGGCAGCTTGTCGATCGACGCGACCAGGAGGCTTGTTTCAGACATTTCCATTGGTTGCAGATTTTGACAGCAAACCGAAACACTGTCGTGACCGACAATGTTCAGCGGGTGGAAGTAAGGAGAGTGACTTGACGGTAGACTCTCGCTACACCCATCGCAGTCCCTCCTCCTCCTCCTCCTTCATCTGGACCCGGTGTTTGCGACAGGCTGAAAAAGATCAGCACGCACAGCGAAGACCCGACAGTTCGACCGTCTTGACCGACGATGTCCACCGAGTGTTCCACAGCAAGGTGAATCATGTACGGTGACCCGCGCGTGAATTAGTTCATGGCGAGAGAAGACTTGCTTAGCATCTTTCGCGCTCTCTCCTCCCCCACCTCAGTCCGGTATCAAGACAGAGTCAAGAAGACCGGAGGTGAGGGGGGGGGATGGAGGTGTGTGGTGCGACCGGACCCCAAGCTAGGTGTACTACACAACGTCGCCTGGTATAAAACAAACACTTGACCAGGATTTTAATCAACACTCGCAGAAGAGAAGGAGGATGAGTGGGCAGCCATGCTCAAGACCTGCATACCCAGGGGGAGCGCGGACGCATATACCGACAGGGAAACAGGTGCCAGAAAACTGCCAGTTGACACCAGGCTGTGGGCCATGCGTGGGAAGTGGCAATCGCTTGCCTACGATGGATGATATTGTTGTGTGATGCAGGTCCTAGTGGGAGAATGTGTGATAGTATGGTGTATGAGGCTGTTGTATACCACAGGTTTTCCTAAGTACGCATGTGATCCAATAGGCTCAGTCGAAGGGTGAATGTGCGAGCGCAGTATGGACAGTGAAGGCGGGTGCAGCAAGTGTGGATTGGGGTCCCAGGCACTGGTTCGCCAGTCTCTGTGCGATGGATTCGCAAGTGACCGACCAGGCCGATGTGTGAAGCGAAGGTGCGGCCGCAGTGAGGGCAGGTGTAGACCTGATCCTCATCGCTGGAGTCGGAGGTAGTGGGGGTGGTGTTGGTTGTTGTGTCGGGATTGGTAATGTGCGAGACGGCCGCCCGAGCGGCCGTCGCTGGGGCAGTGGTGGTGGTGGAGGAGGAGGAGGAGGAGGAGGATGGAAGTAGTAGCCCGAATGGCGCCTTCCCAGCTCTACAATTCACTCGTAAAGAAGCAAAAGGAGGCACCCTCCCGTTCCTAGACGTGAGCATACAAAAGCTCATCGGAAAAGCTCTGACGCTGAGATCATCCTGAGCTATTAGAGGAACCACCCAGCAGTCCATAGAAGAAGCTGTGTTCGGACTCTTTTCCACAGTGCCTATCGTTACTGCAGTAGTGCCGATTTACTCAAAGAAAGAACTGGCCTACTTGTATCGCTTTTTCCGACTCAACGGATACCCGATGAGCTTTGTAAAAAATTGTCTCAGACGACAGCAACAACCACAAAACGTCGACTCTAACGGAGACAGGGCATCACGAAAATTCTATTCCCTGCACTGCATGCCGAGAATTTCCGAAGCGATCGTTCGACAATTAAATCAGTTCGGCATCTCCATCGCCCACAAACCGGCGTCTTCATTGCGCACGACATTATCCCGGGTAAAAGACCCCATACCGAAGGAGCAGCAAACAAATGTCATTTACCGCATTCCATGTGCAAACTGCTCTAGTGTTTGTGTTGGGCATACCGGCCGACGACTTCGGACCCGCATTAACGAACATAAGTTGGCCATCCGCCGACGGGACCCCTTGTCTCTCGTGTTTGCGCATCCCCTTGAGTGTGATCACCGCTTCAACTGGGAGGGGACTGAAGTGATCGCTAGTGCCAACACCAAACAAGCGCAAGAGTTTCTAGAGGCTTGGCACTCTAATAACAATGACATCAACCGCCATGTCGACTTAGACGTTCACTACGAAGGCTTACGTTCACGGTTCGCCGACTTGCGCCCACCCTAAGACACCAACTGCTAATCCATGTACGGCCATGTAGAATATCACGGATTCAGCACCTCCCCCACAGAGTGAACCATGTGTGAAACCCCCAACACTCCCCCTAATGTCCGCCACCTATCCAAACACCTTCTTCACCCCCACACATAAACGTCTGGCTTGTCGATGTAACCTGGATGTCTCCCTAGCTCCCCAGTAAGATTATCTCGCTCACACTTTTCATTTTCGTCTGACGACGGGTTGGTGTAACCGACTTGAAAATTCACGAGTATACCTCGATTTTCCGACGAGACTTCTCCCCTAACATTTTATGAGTATATATATATACATATATGTATAGACATAGGGCGTGGATTTTGTAGGCAACCTGCTCAATATGCTGATATTTCCTCTCTTAATGCTTTCGCCTACTTACGTGTGCACCTTGTAGCTGCCATCACTGCCTGCAACCAAACATGGTGGTGGGTCTGCTGGTCGCATTTAATGACAATGACGACAGTCGGAAAAGTTCGCCCCCCACACTAAAGCAAATTCCAGCACCTGAAGTCTCACAGTTAACTGGCAAGGACGACTAGACATGTGCAGAATTGCATGACGTCAAGAAAATTTGTAATTCACTGCTAGACAGCTTTCCACGTGTGCATTCTCACAGGTGGTCCAGTTAAGAAATTTCATCCTTTTAATTTTCTGAGAAATCACTTAGTTACGACAGTTCGACCATCGATTTTAATCATGTCCACCTTATGTCCCACAGCAGGTGGCAGCAGGGACGGTGAATTGCGCAGGGGTTTATAGTGCGGGTAGACTTGCGCTGCATCTACCTACACTCTCTCCTCCTCCCCCGCCTGGGCCCGGACTCAAGACAGAGTCAAGAAGACCGGAGATGAGGGAGACCGCAGGTGGATAGCTCGGACGGATCCTCACCTTGGCGTTCCACCACACCCCCTGGTCCACACAACAAATGACAAGAATTTCAATCAACACAACAGAGATTTGGAGGCTGGCACGGCCGAAGCCGCAGCTAGGCGTGCCGCCAACGCCTGGCTCGGATCCCACACTGTGGTGGGAGTGCCATAAAGGCCACATTAAAAAGGAGCCATTGCAGCCTGACTCTCAGACCGCCTCCAGTTAAGGAGGTGGTCCAAGGTACCCCGTCAGTTGGCAACCTTCCAAGCCACGGCCTTTAGCGCACCGGGATAGCTTCAAGCGCGTCAGATTGTTTACAGTGAGGAGAAAGTGCGCTGAGTCGTCGACCTCACTCTCCATTCCAATTCCCACACCGCAGCCGCTGTCCGAGCCGGTCAGCAGACTGGAGTGGGAAATGGGCGCGGTGGCTGACACGGTCGACGGACCATGCCTGCGCGCGCCACAGCACGACCTGGCCCCCCATACACACAAACACCTGGATTTCACACAGCGGGGGTTGAACGGCGTGTCTCTCACTTGCGTGAAAGGGTCGTGGGAGGTGCTGATTCAGCCCGTCCCCAGCCCACCAGTCCGCCACTCCACACAACACACACACAACGTGACGAACTGCGTGAACCGAGAGCAGGCCTCAATCAGCAACCTTCCTATCCACGACGCTTGACGTGTCAGGATAGTCTCGGACTCAAGTCACCCCTGCAGCCGAAGCCGCATGAGGACCGAGTCGAGATGCACAGTTCCCACTTGCATGGGAGGTGGCAGCTGGGTGCATGAGGTGTGGGAGTGTTGATGTGTGGTGGGGTGATGGTGGTGGTGGTGGTGGTGGGAGGTAGGGAGTGAATGAATGTGTGGTGTGGCTGCGTGTTGTCTACCGCAGGTCGTCGTGGATGCGCATGTGGTCGAATAAGCCCATGCGATGTCTGAAGGTGCGAGGACAGTGTGGGCAGTTGAGACGAGCTTGGTGGGTATCGGCTGGTGCTCCAGGTACTGGTTCGCCAGTCTCTGTGCGGATGGATTCGCAAGTGACCGACCAGGCCGATGCGAGAGGTGAATGTGCGTGAACACTGTGGGCAGGTGAAGTCGGCGGCGGCAGTTTCAGCTACGGAGGACGCGGTGATGGTGGTGGTGGTGGTGATGGGCGGGCAGGGCGATGGAGCGAGTGTGGTGCTGGGCCTGGTAGGTGTGTTGGATGTGGTGGGTGTGTCGGAATTGTGGTCAATTCCGCACTCGTGAATGCGCATGTGACCGAATAGACCCATGCGATGCCGGAAGGTGCGAGGGCAGTGTGGGCAGTGGAGGCGAGTGCGGTGGGTGTAGGTTGGTGTTCCAGGCATTGGTTTGCCAGTCTATGTGCGATGGATTCGCAACTGACCGACCAGGCCGATGTGTGAGGTGAAGGTGCGGTCGCAGTGTGGGCAGGTGTAGTCCTGATCCTCATCGCTGGAGTCGGCAGAGGTGGGGGTGGTGACTGTTGTTGCGCGCGTGACGGTCGCCTGAGCGGCCGTCGTTGGAGCAGTGGAGGAGGAGGAAGAGGAGGAGGAGGTGGATGGAAGTGCTGGTTCAGAAGAATTGTCCGAGTTAGTTGGCGACGGAGAGGATGAGGAAGAGGCGGGCGGGGGAAGATGGTTGGTGCAGTTCGAGAGGCGCAGTTGATCCGAAGGTGTCCAACAAGTCCAATTCGAGCTCGGAATGTCCGTTGACATCGGGGACACGTTGGAAGCGGTTGTGCGGCTGCGTTGCGTACTGGGCGAACTAGGGATTTGCGGACTTCGCGTTTCGCCTTGGCGGCAGGGATGCGATTGGCTTCGTAGATCGCAGCGCCTGTCTTCACTGTCCTCCTCCAGGTCGGTCGATCGAGTGCGAGCTCTTCCCAGTTGGCCGTGCTGATTTGCAGGCGCTTCAGGGAGGACTTCAGGGTATCCTTGTAACGGCGAATTTGGCCTATTTGACGGAGAGAACCCGTCGCGACGTCTCCGTAGAAGAGTCGTTTGGTTAGTCGCTCGTCGTCCATGCGCACCAGGTGGCCGCTCCAGCGCAGCTGCATTTGTTTCAGTATGGCGTAGATGCTGGGGATTCCCGTTCGTTCCAGTACTTCCGTGTCGGGGATTCGATCCTGCCAGTTCAGCCTCAGGATGCGACGAAGGCAACTGAGGTGGAAGTGGTTCAGTCGGCGTGCCTGCTTTGTGTACACCGTCCAAGCCCCCGCTCCATACAGTAGCGTCGCAGGATGACGGCCTTGTACATCTTTAGCTTCGTGCTCAGTTGAAGTCCGTGACGATTCCAAACTGTGCTTTGGAGACGACCGAAGGCTTGACTGGCTTTCGAGATCCTGTTGGCGACATCGTCATCGATCTTGGTGTTGCGGGAGAGGGTACTGTCCAGGTACGGGATGTTCTCCACCGCTTGCAGTTGGGTTCCGTTCGCGCTGATTTGCGGCGACGCGTTGGGGGCTGTGGCTGAGTTGGGTGGCGGTTGATGCATCACCACCGTCTTCTGCGTTTTGATAACCAGCCCAAAGTTCTCGCAGGCGGCAGAGAAGAGGTCCATGCTCCGTTGCATCTCCTCTTCCGAGGTGGTGTTCAGGACGCAGTCGTCGGCGAAGAGGAGTTCGTGCACGGTGGTTGTGGATACGCGCGACTGGAAGGGCATCCGTCGTTGATTCAGCAGGTGACCGTCCGTCCTGTAAGCGATGCGGATTCCAGGGCGTTCGTTGCGGTAGGCGTCCATCAGCATGCCAGAGAACATGAGACTGAAGAGGGTAGGCGCCCGCACGCATCCCTGCTTCACTCTGTTGGTCCCTGCGAATGCCTCTGAGACGGCTCTGCTGTCTGTGACTCGCACCATCATACCGTCGTGCAGCTGACGCACGGTCTGAGTGAATCGCTCCGGACAGCCGAATTTCTGCATGATCTTCCACAGTCCTTCACGATTCACCGTGTCGAAGGCTTTTGTCAGGTCCACGAAGGTAGAGTACAGGTGGGTCCGCATCTCCTGGCACTTCTCCTGAAATTGACGGGCGGCGAAGATCATATCCGTGGTCCCACGATGACGACGAAAGCCGCAGTGGCTTTCCGGCAGAAGGCCCTGTTCCAGGTGGTTATTGAGGCGGTTGAGAAGGATGCGAGCAAAAATCTTCCCGGCGATGTTTAGCAATGAGATGCCTCGTTGTTTGTCGCAGAATTGGTGGTTCCATTTTTGCTTCTGTAGATGCATGATGGTTACGTCTTTGAAATCTTGCGGGGCTTCCCCTTGACGCCACATCTCCTGGAAGAGCGCAGTCTGGTGATCCATGAGTTGGGGAGCTTCGTGCTTGTAGACCTCAGCAGGGATTGCGTCCGATCCGGGTGCTTTCCCGCTGGAGAGCTGTTGCACGACCACATGCACACATACGCGTACCCACACACACACACACACACGCACGCACACACACAAAAAATGCCTGAAATACCGCTACTGTCGACAACCTTCTAACCCACATCTTCTTCCGCACCGTGATTGATTCAGAGGCATCAGACTGTTTGTAGTGAGGAATACGCGCTGAGACAGTCGACCTCACTCTCCCTTCTTACTCCCAGACAGCAGTCCATTGTGCGGGTCGGTCACACGTCTGATGTGGGGGCGCATCACAGGTGCACACTCCAGGGTTACATACAAAAGGGGGAAAGTGGCTCAAATCTCACATGTAGCAAAGGAGCTCCATGGAGAGAGAGGCGCCGAAAGCCACACTTCCCGCTTACATTAAAGGTGCTGGTGATGTGGGATTTCAGAGATGTTCTTGTGTAAGGAATGTGTTGATTGGGGACTTGCGGTCACGTCTGCAGTGAGTTACTGCACATGTGACTAAATAGGCCAATGAAATGGCTGAAGGTTCAAGGTTAATGCAGGCAGATGAAGCGATGACGCCTGCCGTATGTTGGTGCTTCAGGCGCTGGTTCGCCAATCTCCGTGCAATGGATTCGTGAGTGACCGACCAGTGTGATGTGTGAGATGGGCGTGTGATGACAGTTTTTCTGCGTTAATCACCGCAAAGAACATCCTTATTAATTAATCATTTTTTTGCGGAATATATATATATATAGCGGTATAATATAGTACGGTGTAATACGTTCTGTGTATACGTTTCATACTACTCGTAGTGCTACCTGTTTGTAGAATGATTATTACATGGTTATTCCACAGTAGCTGATGGTCTTCGACTCAAATGTTCATTGAAATTTAGCTTCTGGCCCTAAAACGTCATGTCCCCGAGACTTAACTTTATGGCCTGCGCTGAGTAATTTCTAAAATTATTCACTTGATATATATATATATATATGAGATCCTTACCAGAACAGTAAGTGTAAAACGCCTACTTTACATGCTTATATACCTAACTTCATAAGGCCTATGACGTACTATGGAGTGGTAACGACGGTGAAACAACTGTATGTGTCTAGCCTGTTGTACTTTTAGCGAGCTGCCTAGGTAATATACAGTACCTGTGCTAACTCATGAAATGCCGAGGTCAAAATTATAGTGGACAATGTAGTGTATTTTTGGTGTCGTTATTTGTGTTTATTTGGTTGAAATAAGGACGAAAAGACCGTTTTCTGAAGGAAAGTTTGATACGGATCTGTATATTAAATAGAAAACGGGCCGGATTAAGGCGAGATCGGAGGATTCCTGATATACAAGCAGTTTCCTACGCTATTAAAGCTTTCGGATGGAAATTTTTTGTGTAACCTTATTAATCTGTTTAAGAAGATTAATAAAAGGACGAAATTTTTTGATAAACTTTCGAACAAAAAGAAAAAATTAAATTTCAATATCAACAAAATCAGGGAAATGCAGATAAATTATTTCTCATTGTGTTCAGGAAATAACGTGCGATTCTTTATCTAAAAATTCTATTTTACAAATTCGTAAAGTTTTATGTTTCAAAATACCGAAATAAAAAAGTTTATCAGTGTGATTGTTTTACCAGACTGAAAATGCGTGTCGTAAACGAATATATATAGATAACCTTGTCATGTCTATGTCGGCCAGACTTTCTGCTGTTATTAATTCGAATGGACAATCTACAAAGTACTAATTTTTTGTATCTGTTTCTGTCCTTAATTATTTTTGACCTTTTATGCGCCCTCCTCCTTTATACGTCCTCATACGTAGCCTTTATTAACTTGTTTGTAATATAGGCGTTTCTCGAAAATGTGACTTTTGTCGAAAATTATTTATTTTTATCTCAGTAAATAATATTTTCTTAACCAAACTTTGCTTTATTTCTTTGGAACATCGTTTATTTTCCGCTATCAGACTTTGGGAGCCGTAGTGTTTACTGATTTTGCGTTAAAGGCGTTAACCTGTGTTAATTCGTGACATTTCATGAGTTAGCACAGGTACTGTATATAGATATATATTTAGCCATAGGGCGGGGTTTTTGCAGGCGGACTGCTCAATATGCCGATACTTTCGCTCTTAATGCTTTCGCCTACTTACGTGTGCACATTGTAGCTGCCATCACCGCCTGACAACAAAACATGCTGATGGCTCTGCTGTTCAAATTTTCGCCAATCGAATCTACATCTCCGCAGACCAAGGCCCTGAGCAAATGACGTCTCCGTGCCTGCCATCAACACTAGCATTCATAGAGATTTTTACTAATTTTATTCAGACAATAATTCGAATTTTGTGACACACCCCATGGAGGTGTATCCGAAATTCTGAACTGCGTTTACAACCAGAAAGGATGCTTTAAATGGGGTTGTAATAGTGGTTATCGTGCAGGATGATCCAAATATACCTGAGCCACACCGAGATATCGACAACTGCAAATACTGCGATTGGCAAAAATGGCCAATTAAGTAATCGGTACTTTAAATAAAAGTTCAACAGCATCATAAATTCATATCTGTTCTACAAAACACATGCACACAAATACACTTTCCTTTACCCATTTGTTAGAAAGTCAGGCCCTTTCTAAATTTGTTCTCGATGAAATATCATCTTTCGGGTTTCAAAGCGTTTTCGAATTTCCCTATTGTTTTTGGATCTGATTTGTCGTTGCAATTACACATAGTGTGTACAAACCACGTGTTTCAAAGTTACCATGCAATGAATGTCATATCCTCCTCTATTCCGTAAAGAAAATATCATTTAAACCAGGGCAAGCTGAGGTTTACCTCGAAGCGGATCTCAGTCCTCTGATTTACGCACACTCTCTTCGTGTTACCTTACCCATTTCCCTTTTTCATTGATTATTTCTGTGCAAATTCAAATCGCTGTATCCTTCTCATTCGTATCAGTGACGAGATGCAGGTTTTCGGCTCCGATAAATTCTTCTGTGTATGCCTAAATAAAGATTCTCACATAGGCCATCCGCCCACCTCAGGCAAACCAGTTTAAGCATACGTGCACAGACTTGCATACGTAGAACCATGGTGATGCAGTTTCCCTGCAACATTAGATGATTAAAATTTTTATTTGGATACAGGGGCCTATAAGTGCATTTTAGATGGAAAACGCATGTCCGAATCAGAACTCTTGCCTCCCCTTGGAACATATGTCGCCTACAAGTCAAAGCACTATTGGGCACCCAGCGTCTTGTGCTCAGATCCTGTTTACCTGCAAAATCATCCTTCCTATGCACCCTGGATGATGGCTACTCAACTACCTGACGAGCGATACACCTGTCTGGATATAATGCGCGGTAGACTTGCGAAGTGCCACGCCTCACTCGCTTTCTCATCTGCATGGACTGGAGACGAGACGGGTCACGGTGACCTATCTGGTAAATATGATCACCAGGCGATTGCTGGACGTTCAGTATTCCACAAAGTACTTGTCGAGTAAAATTCTGGTCCCTGCCTTCGCGTTTCCCTCTTCCCAACCGTTTGGCAAAAATCATCTACACACACGAAGGCTGTATTTCTTAAAATTAATGATAATTCGACAGCGGATGCCCACCCAAATGCGGAAAATTCATTCAGCACGAAAAATAGATTACGTAGAGTTGAGAAAATGTGAGATCTGGATCCATATGACATCCACTGCCGCGTATACGGCTACGGAGAATTGAAGTTTATTTGTTGTTGCGATCGTTCCGGCGCTCGATAGTCTCATTTCGAATCATCCAGACTCTGGATTAGCAAGTGGATTGAATCACCGCACAGTTGGAAAACGATGTAATGGGGAACTGAGATCTATTATCAAGTCTATGCGATGGCATTTGCGGGCCACCAGTCGACATTAAAATCACACCCTGTTCCTTTTAGACATGGATTATATTCGTATCCTTGCCATTTTCATAAAGTAAAGTCCGCAAGTGCTGTGTTGCAACACAGAGGAAACATTATTCACCTCAATCCAGTGAGAAAAAAAACTAAAAGTACTTATAGATGAACAGAGGGGAGGCTTAGTGCACAGATTCTGCATCCTTAAATTGACCTTCGGAATAGCCGGGTAACGCGCGACCTCCGTCGACTGCGTCGGAACGCTTCGAATCAGCTTGGGGTCGGTCAGGTCAGTCTAAACATCGTGTAGTTAAAACTTCCGCTCAACCTCTTGTTTTCTCCACGAATGTAAGGCATTGTTGACAAACTCGAGAGATACACGTCTCACACGGGAAATGGGCCCCCTTTCTTTCCGGCAGCGTCTCCAGTAGACGTCCGTAAGGCCAGTCGGGGATTAGACCAGTCGACCGAGTCCTCGTTACCCCCAGACCTTGGGAGCTCATTTCGGTAGAGGTGACAGACGGAATATGAGGGGAAGAGGTGTAGAATATAGCGAAAGCTGGCCTACAGAATACTTCGAACCTGCAAACCTCGGCTTGTTGATCCCATTCTGGAGTCTATTGCCGACTCGGCCGCATTGGAAGATGATCACATAAGATGCTATAGCAATATATATCCGGTCTGACATTCGCACCGAATGTCTAACTCAATGAACGAGGGACTGCGAAACTCTTCTATGCGACCGCAAAATTGAATTGCATGAGGAGTAGTCCTAGATCGGTTCGTACACAAGGGTCTGGAAAACGCCTAAATGCTAACAAGCACATAGTACAAATGGTAGAAGGGCGAACACCGATCGTTCTTACGGAACGCACTCATCCCGTTGTGCCTTACGGGCTCTCTCTCTCGAGCCCAGCCAGCAGCCGCACAGCGGCGCATGATATATAGGCAGAATGATATTACCGACAAAGACAAGGGAGACTGGAATGGCCATTTCTGGTTTATTAGCCGTCGTCAGCCAGCCATACCCAAGCCCGAAGTGTGGAACACCCGAGCCATAAAGGCAAAATGTTATTACGGACTAGAATGGCCATTTCTGGCTTATTAGCCTACATCATGCGCCGTTGTACGGCCGCTGGTTGCGCGCGTGAGAGAGCCCGTAAGGCACAACGGGACGAGTGCGTTCCGTAAGAACGATCGGTGAGCGCCCCTCTACCATTGCATATTCTCAATTGCAACCGACAGAACAACGAGTCCGTGGCTTCGGATTGTTAGCCAAACAGAAACATATTAGGCGTTCGGCAAACACTCGTAACGTCCACCTCCGCCTAACACGCTAGTCAACAAGTACTACTTAAATGGCGCATATGTCGGGACTGACTTATGCGGACGCCTAAACAGGACATGGGAATAGGTACACCCCGTCGCACTAATAATGATGGGCTTGCACAAAATTTCGGAAGGGACAAAATCATCCATTGTTTTAACCCCAACAATAAACCCACTACAAAACTAAACTGCCGTGCACGTAACCCGGCAGACGAGCTCATTAGCTGTGTCACCAACATTGGTCCAACTCCTACACAAAATGTCTGACCAACTCAGATGGTCGACTTACGCTCCCACACCGTAGGATCCGGGCGGGGTATGGCGGCACGCATAGGAGCGGTCCTGGCCGCGGAAGCCGCCAATACTCGAACACGCCTTCAGTCTTCTTAGCCATGTTTTGACACCGGGCTCACTTGGGGAGACAGCGGAGACAGTGCGGCAAATGCTGTGAAAGTCTACTATAAATTAATTCTCATGCAATCCGACTGTTCGACCGTCGTTTCAGACGATGTCCAACGTGTGCTACACAGCAAGTTGCAGCAGGCACGGTGACTTGAGCGTGAATTGGTTTATTATGGTAGTCGAATTGCGTAGCATCTACCGCACTCTCGCTCTCTCTTCCCCACTCTCCACCTAGACTCGGTGTCAAGACAGAGTCAAGAAGATCGGAGGCGGGGGAGGACGCATGTGGATGACGCAGTCGAGCTCGCACCTTGGCGCTCCACTCCACACCCCCTCATCCACACAGCAAATGACCAGACTTTTGACCAACAATAACAATAACAACATCCCAACAGGGGTCGGAAGGACGATGATGGCTGGGAAGCCATTCCCAGGCTTGTCCAGCGGTGGGCTCGCGTGACGGACGTAGTAGGTCACTCCCTTGCTTGCAGGTGCGGACTACGCCTATCAAACTCTCACATGTGGCTCCCCGATGCTAGGTTCAGCCTAGCGGCCAAACCCCGGCAACCGCCTCGACCGGTGGGCTAAACCAGCTGAGGATATCCGTTTGTGCATCTCCGGGCCTGGTAGTTTCGGCTTCGCTGGCCGGATGGATCTTCGCATCGACATAGTCGATACGACGCTCCGTCTGGAACACAGTAGGAGGCCACAATCAAGTAAGCGAACGTTGCTCTGCTGCCTTTGATTCAATTGATCTTATTTGCCTGCTCTCTGTCTGCTTTCGTGTCTGTCCTTGTTAAAAACTAACAGCCGTTCTGTTGAATTTCCTCTGTTGCTTTTGCTTCTTGCAGTTTTTGCCAGTTTGTGTCTGTCCTTACTGCAGGTTAAATGCTGTCCTGTCGAATGTGTTTGCTTACCGCTCATATTTCAGCAACTAGTTAACCTAGCGAATGACGGGAAAGCTCTGCATCCCGTCTTCATATTCCCCCTTTATCATCCTTCCCTTCAGCTTTCCGCGATGTCGTCAGCTGTCTCACGGGTCGTTCTCTTAAAAAACAAAGACGTGGTCCGTAGTGGGGTTCGGCAGCCACCTGACGCAACTGAGCACTGCTCATTCCAGCGAGAGGGAAAGGGTTAGAAAAGGTGCCCGAAACAAATGCTGGGGAACCACGTCGTCTGCAGGCTGATCGTGGTCGAAGACGCTAAACTCACAGTCGAAACAACCCACAAAGCAAAACAACAAAAACATGCTCCCATCTTCTCCCTTCTCCTTCTCCTTCTCCTCCTCCTCCTCCTCCTCCTCCTCCTCCTCCTTCACTGCTCCATCGACGGCCGCTCAGGCGACTGGCACGTACACAACAGCCGACACCACCCGCGTTGCCTCCGACTCCAACGATGAGGATCAGGACTACATCTGCCCTCACTGCGACCGCATCTTCGCCTCACACATTGGCCTGGTCGGTCAATTGCGAATCCATCGCACAGAGACTGGCGAACCAATGCCTGGAACACCAACCTACACCCACCGCAGCTGCCTCCACTGTCCACACTGCCCTCGCACCTTCACGCATCGCATGGGTTTATTGGGCCACATACGCATCTACGAGAGTGGAATTGACCGCCGTACCGACTTATGTATCACGCCAAACCCCACCCCCAACATGATCACCCTGCGCCCCCACAGCCCTTCCCACAACTAACACTGACACCGGCGACTTCTCATGCCCACACTGTCCCCGCACCTTCCCCTCACGCATCGGCCTGGTAGGTCACTTGCGAATCCATCGCACAGAGACTGGCGAACCAGTGCCTGGAGAACCAACCTATACCCACCAAGCTCATCTCAACTGCCCACACTGTCCTCGCAGTTTCAGGCATCGCATTGGCCTATTCGGCTACATGCGCACCCACGACGACCTGCCGTAGACAACCGCCGGCTGCACCACACACTCACACACTCCCTATCTTCCTCCTCCTCCACCACCACCACATCACCCCACCACACATCTACACTCACCCACCGTATGCACCCAACTGCCACCTCCCACGCAAAGTGGGAAGTGTGCATCTCGACTCGCTCCCAGTGCGGCTTCGTCTGCAGGGGTGACTTGAGTCCAAGATTATCCCGACACGTCAAGCGTCGTGGATAGGAAGGTCGCTGATTGACGCCCGCTCTCGGTTCACGCAGTTCGTCCTGTTGTGTGGGCGTTGTGTTGAATGGCGGACTGATGGGCTGGACGACGGGCTGAATCAGCACCTTCTACGACCCCCCTCACGCACGCCGTTCAACCCCCGTTGTGCGATATCCTGGTGTGTGTATATGGGGGGCAGGTCGTGCATGTGGCGCGTGCAGTCATTGTCAGTCGACCATGACAGCCACCGCGCCCATTTCACACTCCGGTCTGCTGACCGGCTCGGACAGCGGCTGGGGTGTGGGAGTGAGAAGGCGGAGTGAGGTCGACGAATCAGCACACTTTCCTCACTATAAACAATCTGACGCGCTTGAAGCTATCACGGTGCGCTAAAGCCGTGGCTTGGAAGGTTGACCACTGACGGGATAACTTGGACCTCCTGGACTGGAGTCATGCTGCGATGGCTCTTTCTTAATGTGACCTCTATGGCACTCCCACTGTGTGGGATACGAGACGGGTGGTGACGGCACGCCTAGGTGCGGCTTCGGCCGTGCCAGATTCCACTGTTCTTCTTGGTGTTAATAAGAATCCTGGCCATTTGTTGAGAGGGCTAGAGGGTGCGGGATGGAACGTCAATGTGCGGATCCGTCCGAGCCATCCACCTGCGACCTCCTTCGTCTCCGGTCTTCTTGACTCTGTCTTGACACCGGACTCTGGCGGGGTAGGAGGAGAGAGTGTAGGTAGATGCAGAGCAAGTCTACTGGCACTATAAACCTCTGCGCAAGTCACCGTCACTGCTCTCACAATGCAGTCTGTGGGGCACACGGTGGACATCGTCAAACACGGCGGTCGAACTCTTGTGTGTGTGTGTGTTTTGGAGTGTAAGTAATTAATTTCTCAGTAAATTAAAAGGATGAGATTTCTTAACTGGACCACCAGCCAGAATGCACACGTGGAATGGATCACAAAATTTCATGACTTCACTAAATTCTCCACATGTGTCGTCGTCTTTACCAGTTAATTGTGAGACGTCAGGTGCTGGAATACCGTTTGGTGTGGGGAGGCGAGCGTTGTCGACGGTCGTCACTGTCATTACTCTCGTCCTTGTTCAATACCCCGTTGCGTCAAGGTCATTCGCCTCCGCGGCGAGCAGAAGCACACGCGCTGATCTGCAACCCCTCAACCGACTTCAATATGCTCCTGTGCCACTTGAACACAGCCATCCTACTGCAACCAACAAGGGAAGCCACTTGAGCACCACCCGCCGGCGAATGCGACACACACACGCCACTTATACTTCACCTGAGTCTCTTCCCACAAACCTACAAAAACAGCTGCCGCCACTGTCTCGCAGACTCTCAGGTATTGAATAGACGCTGTCACCACCAGCCCCTGGCTTCGCCGGCGACAGTGGTCGCCTGAATGGACAACTTAGGGTTCTGCATAGAATAAAGCTTACATTCTGATGCCTTCTGTCGGGAGTTGTGGCGCACTGCTTAACTGCTACATGAGACATGCGTTTTCGAACTGCAAACACGCCTTGTATTCGAGTGAAAACCTACGTGGTAACAATCGGGAGATGGCACCCAAAAAAATCCGCCTAACCAAAGCAGCCTGTCTTACGGGACAGATGGTAATCGGGGTTTTATGGGTGGTGGCTGGTCGGGATGTACGATACCAGCCGACAGAAAGCCTTATTTGAACAGATGAATGATCGAAGTTGGCCCGCTCTCGTTCCGTTATTACAAAATGGGTAACGAAAGGCAGTATATTGGTAACGGACGAGTGGAAGGCGTATAATCGTCCTCCCTCAGAAGGTTATCTACATTTCACTGTTAACCACTCAAAGAAATTCAAGGACCCTACCACCGGACGGCACACCAATGCCATTGAGGCATACTGGAGTAGACTGAAAAGGAAACTCCACGAGGGAGGCCTTGTATGTGGTCGAGCTGTGTGGGCTCACATAGACGAAGTACAGTGTCGTCTTTGGTTTGGCCTCAATTCCATGTCTTTGACAGATGCCCGGGAACTGTTCCTGTCCCTTGTAGTGCAGACTTATCCTATTTAAAAATGATATCGTTTTGTAGTAAACTGCCATAATGCGAATGTATGCCGTATATTCAGGTGTACGTGTGTAACGATGGGGAAGGTTGGGTAACAGCGACCATCGTCCATGTAACCTCCCGCGATGTTCGTTCGGCCAGCCCATGTTAGGCCGTCGGGGAAAGTCCAAGTAGTGCGTGAAAGTAGGCCTGCGACCGCTGATATAGCCTGAAGGCGTTTGAGTCCACTGTTAAACGTATTATTTCTAGGTAACGGATTTTTTGGGTGCCATCTCCCGATTGTTACCTACGTATCTCTGCCTGCAGGAGATAATCATGTGAATATACAAATACAGCAGGATAACCGCTGAATATTCTTAGATTGTCAGTAGACAGCCAGTGGTACACATATGCAATACTGAATACTTGGCCGTATAGCGCCTAGATGGCCTTCTGACCGGGAACCAAAATTCCTATTTCAATGGGTTTCATGATACACCATGGCAGTTCCGTCGTCGGTTTCGACATTGTCCAGCGTGGGCTCTACAGCAGGGGAAGAGCAGGGGCGGTGGATTGTATGTCATCACTTGTATGCCCTCCGGGGGCGCAAGTACATCTGCCGGCAGGGAACCAGATGTCAGGGGCCTGCCAGCGTATACCAGGCTTCCAGGACCGTGGTTTGCTGATGCTGGCAAAGTACACGCTTTCAGACCTTTTGACCTATAAGGGCGGCACGTGGTCCTGCATTTAGCCTGGGCCGTAGCCCAAACAGTCGTCGACTGAGAGCCGCTACTCATAAAGCACACACACTCTCCTCATATGCATGAGAGTGTCACAGATCGCTTGAGAAGGAGCAGTGACAGCCTGGCTCTCAGCCCACCAGTCCGTCACTCCACACAACACAGACAACTGGACAGACTGCGTACTCTGAGTTGGGACGTCAGTCGGTTGCCATTCGATCCACGGCGCTCGAATCACCGTCTTCGTCCCAGAATCCGACCACACATGCAGTATAGGAGCCGCGTGGAGAAGGAACCGAGACGCACACATCCCACTCAAACAGCCAACCGGTGCACGTGGGAGTGAAAAGGGAATGAAGCCTACTCTGGAGCATTCATCTTTATGGCAAATCAGCACATTTTGATTACTAAAATAAACCTGACGCCCCAAAAGTGGTGGTTTGGAATGCTGTCTGCTGGGGTGGTAGTGGCTCCTTCTCAAAGTGACATGCATTCGCATGCGCACCAGGTGGCCGCTCCAGCGCAGCTGCATTTGTCTCAGCCTGGTGTAGATACTGAGGATTCCTGTCCGTTCCAGCACATCAGTGTCGGGGATTCGATCCTGCCAGTTCAGCCTCAGGATGCGACGAAGGCAACTGAGGTGGAAGTGGTTCAGTCGGCGTGTCTGCCTCGTGTACACCGTCCAAGTCTCCGCTCCATACAGTAGCGTCGGCAGGATGACGGCCTTGTACATCTTCAGCTTCGTGCTTAGTTGAAGAAAATGACGATTCCAAACTGTGCTTTGGAGGCGACCAAAGGCTTGACTGGCTTTCGAGTTCCTGTTGGCGACTTCGTCATCGATCTTAGTGTTGCAGGAGAGAGTACTGCCCAGGTACGGGAAGTTATCCACCACTTGCATTTGGGTCCCATTCAGGCTGATTTGCGGCGCGTTGGGGGTTTGGCTGAGTGGGGCGGCGCTTGATGCATCACCACCGTATTCTGCGTGGTATTGACCAGTCCGAAGTACTCGAAAGCGGCGGAGAACAGGTCCATGCTCCGATGTATCTCCTCTACCTAGTTGGTGTTCAGGGCGAAGGCGGCGGCGAAGAGAAGTTCGTGAACGGTGGTTATGGATACGCGCGATTGGAAGTGCATCCGTCGTTGATTCGGGAGATGACCGTCCGTCCCGTAGGCGATGCGGATCCCGGGGCGTTCGTCGCGGTAGGCGTCCATCAGCATGGCAGAGAACATAAGACTGAAGAGGGTAGGCGCCAGAACGCATCCCTGCTTCACTCCGTTGGTCACTGCGAATGCCTCTGAGACAGGTCCGTTGTCCGTGACTCGTGCCATCATACCGTCGTGCAGCTGACGCACCATCTGAGTGAATCGCTCCGGACAGCCGAACTTCTGCATGATTTTCCACAGTCCTTCACGATTCACCGTGTCGAAGGCTTTCCTCAGGTCCACGAAGGTAGAGTACAGGTGGGTTTGCATCTGCTGGCACTTCTCCTGAAGTTGACGGGCGGCGAAGATCATATCCGTGGTCCCGCGATGAAGGCGGATGCCGCATTGGCTTTCCGGCAGAAGGCCCTGTTCCAGATGGTTATTGAGGTGGTTGAGGAGGATGCGAGCGAAGATCTTCCCGGCGATGTTCAGCAGGGAGATGCCGCGGTGATTATCGCAGAGCTGGCGGTTCCCTTTTCGCTTGTAGAGGTGCATGATGGTTGCGTCTTTGAAATCCTGCGGGACTTCCCCTTGACGCCACATATCCTGGAAGAGCGCAGTCAGGTGATCCATCGGTTGGGGACCTCCGTACTTGTAGACCTCAGCAGGGATTGCGTCCGATCCGGGTGCTTTCCCGCTGGAGAGCTGCTGCACGGCCCTGATGGTTTCCTGGAGAGATGGCGGGAGGTCGAGGTCCACGTTGGTCTCCACCTGCGGTAGGGGGTCGATGGCGGCGTCGAAGATGGTGGAGGGACGGTTGAGGACGCCTCGGAAATGCTCGGCCCATCGCTGTAGGATTTGCGTCTTCTCAGTCAGGAGAGTACTACCGTTGGCGCTGAGGAGAGGAGCAGTGCCCTTTGTCGGGGGAACGTAGACAGGTTTGATCGCTGGGAAGAAATTCCTCCATTCGTTGCGTTCCGCATACCCTTGGATCTCCTGAGCTTTGCGAGCAGTCCAGGAGTCCTGCATCTCGCGCAGTCGTTGCTGAAGCTAACAGCGACTGCGGTCGAAAGCAGCTTTGTTGTCCTCATTGGGGTGATCTACGTAGGCTTTGTGTAGGCGGTTCTTCTCAGCAAGCAGATTGCTGATGGCGGCGACGTCATTGTCGTCGAACCAGTCCCGGTGTTGGCGGGGAGCGCGACCGAGGACGGCGAGTGCCGTCGCCTGGACCGTGTCTCGCAGTTGACACCAGCGGTTCTCCACGGAGGCGTTCTCGGCAGCGGCGGCGGCGGCGTCGTCGGCGACGGCAGCGATAGGAAGGTTGTCTAGCCGTTCCGTTAGCTCATTGCTGAAATGAAGATGGTGAGCGGGCAAAGACAATAAGGCAACATTCAGCTTACCTGGGGGTCGCTTACCTTGTGGTCTCCTGCGAGGCTGTAGGCGAATACGCATCTTCGAGATGACGAGGCGATGGTCGGTCCACCCGTCAGCACCCGCGATCGCTTTCGTCACCAGCACGTCTCGCTGATCTCGCCTCCGGACGAGGACATAGTCCAGCAGGTGCCACTGGCGCGACCGAGGGTGCCTCCAGGTGGCCTTCTCTCGCTCCGGCAGACAGAAGTACGTGTTCGTCAGGATTAGGCCGTGTTCTGCGCAGGTGCGAAGCAGCAGCAGACCATTGTCGTTTGAGCCGCGGAGACCGTGGGGACCCAGCACTCCTCTCCAGGCAGCATGGTCTGTGCCGACGCGGGCGTTGAAGTCACCAAGGACAATCAACTTGTCCGCCTTCGACACAGTCGCCAGGACGGCGTGCAGGTCCTCGTAGAATTTGTCTCTTGCGGCGGCGTCGGGGCTGCTCATCGGCGGAGTGTAGGCGCTGATGATGGTGGCGAATTAGTCGCCACCCCGTAGAGGCAGACGGAGGCTCATCAGGCGATCGTCGATGCCCTGCGGCAGACTGGGCAGTCGTCCTACGATGTCGGTCCGGATGGCAAAGGCGACGCCCGCGTCTCGTCGCTCTGCCTTGGGTCGACCGCTCCAGAAGAATGTCTAGCTGGCACCCACCTCCTCCAGTTGGCTTTGTTCGGAGAATCGAGTCACGCTGAGTGAGGCGATGTCCACCTTGTAGCGCGCCAGTTTTCGTGCCACTAGCGCCGTCCTCCGTACCGGTCGGTTGGACCTCGGATTGTCTAAAAGGGAGCGAACATTCCAGGTTGCCAGTGTGAGCGGACTCTCCCAGCCAGTCTGACGAGTGGGCTGGCTAGTTTGTGTCAGAGAAGAAGGTGAAGAAGAAGGAGAAATAGATGAATAATAAAAAGAAGAAGACGAGGAAGAAGAAGAAGAAGAAGAAGAAGAAGGGGGAGTAAGAGGAGGCGGATAGGAAGAAGAGGTAGAAGTAGAAGAAGAAGAAGAAGAAGAAGAAGAAGAAGAAAAATACGAAGAAGGAGAAGAAGAAGAAGAAGAAGAAGAAGAAGAAGAAGAAGAAGAAGAAGAAGAAGGGTAATGGGAGCATGTTTTTGTTGTTTTACTTTGTGGGTTGTTTCGACTGTGAGTTGAGCGACTTCGACCATAACCAGCCTGCAGCCGACGTGGTTCCCCAGCATTTGTTTAGGGCACCTTTTCTAACCCTTTCCCTCTCGCTGGAATGAGCAGTGCTCAGTTGCGTCAGGCGGCTGCCGAACCCCACTACGGGCCACGTCTTTGTTTTTTAAGAGAATGACCGATGAAACAGCCTGCGACATCGCAGTAAGCTGAAGTAGAGGATGATAAAGAGAGAATATAGAGGCGGGATGCAGAACTTTCCTGCCGTTCTCTAGGTTTACTAGTTGCTGAAACATGAGCGGTGGGCAAACACAATCGACGGGACGGCATCTAATTTGCAGAAAGTACAGACACAAAAGCAGAACAGAAAAGAGCAAAAGCAACAGAGAGCAGGCAAACAGAGCAGCAGAGCAACGTTCGCTTACTTGCCTTGTGGCTTCCTACAAAAATATTAAACTGTAAAATAATGAATATTAATTGAAAAAATGTACATTTAAAAACTTTCGATAAAATAAAATAAAGTAAAATAAAAATACATCGAATAACAATGAATGTACAAAAGTAAAAAAATAAAATTTAGAATACAATAGAGTAAAAAGAGAAAAAACAAAAAGATTTTGAATGTCAACGGGTCAATACTGGGGTGAAAATAGCATAGGATTGTATACCTTTACGTGATTAATGAGAAAAAGTGCAAAGGAAAGATTTTGGAGGGCTAAGGTTCGATAGCAGCTACGGCCGAGAAAGTGGTATATAATTGCATGACACGACGAGATAGGAAATGTACAGAGGAAGGAGTTCGGATTGCAGCGAAACAAAAGTAGCTATTAAAGAGAAAATGCCATATTCTTGTAGATCTCGACAAGATAAATAAGATAAACTGCAAACGAAAGATTTTGGAAGGCACCGGGTATGGAGCAGCTACTGAAGAGAAAATGGTATATAATTGCAAATCTCGACGAGATAGGTATGAGGTATTGCAGAAGAAAGATTTTGAAGGCCTCGTATCGACGATGCCGATGCAAATATCCATCCGGCCAGCGAAGTTGAGATAACCGTTCGCGGAGATGCACACGCGAATACCCTCACCTGGTTTAGCCAACCGGTCGAGGCGGTGACCAGGGTGTGGCCGCTAGGCAGAACGTAGCTTCGGGGAGTCACATGTGAGACTTCGATACCAGCAACTGGACGCTAGGCGTAGTCTACAACTGCAAACAAATGAGCGACCTACTACGCCCGTCACGCGAGCCCACCGCTGGACAACCCTGGGCATGGCTTCCCAGCCATCATCGTCTTTCTGACCCCAGTTTTGGTGTTGTTGTTGTTGTTATTGTTGGTCAAAAACCTGGTCATTTGCTGTGTGGATCAGGGGGTATGAAGTGGAACGCCAAGGTGCGGGTTCGACCGCGCCATTCACCTGCGCCCTTCCCCCCGGTCTTCTTGACTCTGTCTTGCTACCGGGTCCAGGTGGAGAGTGGGGAATAGAAAGAGAGTGCGGTAGATGCAACGCAATTCTACTAACATTATAAACCAATTCACGCTCAAGTCACCGTGCCTGCTGCACCTTGCTGTGTAGCAAACGTTGGAAATCGTCTGAAACGACGGTCGAACAGTCGGATTGCATGAGAATTAATTTATAGTAGACTTTCACAGCATCTGCCGCACTGTCTCCCCCCCCCTTCTTACATGGGCCCTATGTAAACACATAACTAAAAAGCCTAAAGGCGAGTATTGGCGGTTTCCGCGGCCAGAACCGCTCCTAGGTGTGCCGCCACACCCGGCCCCGATCCTACGGTGTGGGAGCGTCAGTGCACTATCTGAGCCGGTCAGACATTTTGTGTACGAGTTGGACCAATGTTGCTGACACAGCTAGTGAGCTCGTCTGCCGCGAACTTGCACAAAAAAATTCGGACAGAAGTTTAGTTTTATGTAGGTTTTTTGTCGGAATAAGGACAAGGGAAGATTTATCTCCTTCCGAAATTTTGCGCAAGTCCACTATTATTAGTGCGGCGAGGTGTACCTATTTCCATGTACTGTTCACGCGTCCACATAAGTCAGCCCCGACATATGCGCCATTTAAGTAGTACTTATTGACTAATGTGTTAGGCGGAGGTGGATGTTACGAGTGTTCGCCGAAAATCTAATATGCTACTGTGTATGAACCGATCTTGGACTATTCTTCATTCGAATCCATTTTGCGGTCGCATATAGGAGTTACTCAATGGCCTGTTTATTGGTTTAGATATTCAATGCGAATTTCAGACCAGATATATTTTGCTACAGCATCATATGTGATCATTTTTCAATGCGTCGGAGTCGGCAACAGACTCCAGAATGGAGCCAACAATCCAAAGCTTCCATGCTCCATGTATGCTCGAGGCCAGCTTCCACTATACTTACCCTCCCCGTCATCTTCCGTCTGTCACCTCTTCCGAAATGAGCTCCCGAGGTCTGCGGGTATCGACTGGCATTACGGACGCCTACTGGAGACGCTGTCGGACAGAAAGTAGGCCCATTTGCCACCAGAGTGCACTCCCGTGTGAGACGCGTATCTCTTGAGTTTGTCAACAATGTCTTACATTCGTGGCGAAAACAAGAGGTTTAGCGGCAGTTTTAACCACACGATGTTTAGACTGACCTGACTGACCTCAAGCTGATTAGAAGCGTTCCGAAGGAGCGTCTATCGGAAGAAAACCTGGTCTAGACAATACACGAACTTCGCTAGTTTCGTACCTCTCCAACAAAAACGGAATCTTATCAGGTGTTTGGCACAAAGGGCTAGAAGAATTTGTTCAACAGATAGTATCGAGGAGGAACTTAGAAAAATCCAGGACTTGCTTTGCGATAATGGATACCCTGACAGGTTCATTGCAAAGAACCTTGCCGAACGACCCGCAAAACCCACCACACTAACCGCCGAAAAGAAAACGCTGTTCCTCAAAGTCCCCTTCCAAGGAGACGCTGCAAGTGAACTCCTAAGAAGACGCCTCAACCAAGCTGTCTCGGGAAACTTCCCAGCAGCAAGGGTTCGCATATCATTCTCTACTAACCCTATTTTACGCGGAGAAGGCAAGGATAGGCTGCCAGCTCAGACCGCCTCAATGTGCATCTACTCATTCACTTGCTCCTGTGGAGCAGGTTATATCGGTCGTACGAGTCAGCGCCTTTCCAAAAGAATAAGAGAGCACCTTCCCACATGGCCGGCAAAGGGTGAAACTAGGAGAATAGACAGCGCCATCCTTGCGCATGCAGTGGATTCAGGGCATCGTGTGGACCCCGCTAAAGCATTTCGTGGGATTTACAAGGTCCCCTTGAGCTACCCTAAGCTACTGGGCCAGCGCTTGTTAGCAACAGCAGAAGCGGCCGCCATCAGGTTACGAAAACCGACCCTATGCGCCTAGAAGAATCTCGTTCAGGCTCCGCGCTTACCGTGGTCAAAGTTTGGCTAATTACATACAACTTTCTGCGCTCTTCCGCTCTTGCCAAGCCTGTATATTAAAAACTAACTTTTATCGATTTTTTTCACTCACTGTACCCCGTCCTATGTAACTGTATTGGCCTGATGAGAAGTTACCGAAAGGAACGTTCGCTCGCCACTGCCTCTTCTGAAATATGTAATACTAGGTACTCTATTTTTTAGCGCGCGTTGCCTAGTCTATCAACGCACAGCTGCAGGAAGTTGCCCTTTGAATTTTGTCCAGCACACTAATGTAACCACGTGAACCGAGTCCTTCCAGTATGATCTTTCTTTAGTGATACATTATCTGACATGAATCAGCCCTCGGCTTTCGCTCCCACCTTCCGTAACTCGTTTCTTTCCAAAGGGTGTCTATGCATTCTTGTGTCATGTCGATACCCACCATGCAGCGCGTTTACTTTGTCTCAGTTGAAGCACAACCACTCAGCTTTCACGAAATCTCCAAACCATGTCTGCTGTCAAACGCCTATGACATGACTTACTTAATTCTTCAAGTATACTTGTATGTAGTCCCTCTCTTAACTTTTAATATGGCAGTAAAATTCCGTTGAGTTTACGTACCAAAATTAACTTACGAATGGTCGTCAAATCGAGTTCAAGAAGGAGGACCGGATATACTTTTTCAATATACGACAGAAAAAATTACCACGCTGGCGTCAAACCCACGCCGTGTAGGCCAAACTGCATGCGATATTGACCCGACACCAGGGGTCCTAAAATATTGACATTTTGCGACGTTAGATTGCAGAGCCTTTGTCTGGGACTATCTTACCACATTCTTCGGGTGTATAGCTTCAGTCATTTCCTCCGCCTTGCCCTACATTAGTGGAGAAAACAAGAGGTTGAGCGGCAGTTTTAACTACACGATGTTTAGATTCCTGACTGACCTCAAGCTGATTCGAGGCGTTCCGACGCAGTCGACGGAGGTCGCACGTTAGCCGGCTAATCCGAAGGTCAATTTAAGGATGCAGAATCTGTGCACTATGCCCCCCCCTCTGTTCATTCATAAATACTTTTAGTTTGATTTCTAGCTGGATTGAGGGGAACAATGTTTTCTCTGTGTTACGATGCAGCACTTGAGGACTTGAGTTTATGAAAATGGCAAGAATGCTAATAGAACTCGTGTCTAAAATGGACGAGGTGTAATTTTAATTTCGACTGATCTCCTCTGCACATGCCCTCGCATAGATCTCATAATAGATCTCACTTCCTCGTTACACCGTTTTCCAACTGTGCGGCGACTCATTTCACTTCCTAATCCAGAGTCTGGATGATTCGAAATGGGACTACCGAGCGCCGGAACGACCTCAGCAACAAACAGCGTTCTACATTGCGCATGTTTATATGCAGCAGGGGCTGTCATATGGTTCCAGACCTCATATTTGCACAACACTCCGGAAGTCAGTTTGCGTGTTGAATGAATTTCCTGTATTTAAGCCGTCATCCATTGGCGAATTAACTTTAATTTTTGGGAAAAAGCCTTCGATTATTTC